AGACACACACACACAGAGACACACACACACACACACACACACACACACAGAGAGACACACACACACACACACACAGACACACAGAGAGAACAAGAGTTTGAGTGTGTGTGTTGAGACGAGAGCTAAACTAGCGTGTGTGCGTGAGAATCACCTCCACCAGGCGGCCGATGTTAGCGATGTGAGGAGAGGATTCGCTGACCGTCTCGTCTTTCTCCATCTGAACACACACACACACACACACACACAGGGTAACCCGAGGCGGTCACATGACTCCACTGAGCGCTATAAGCAGAGCGGAGGTCAGAGCAGTACCTGTCGGGTGAGGCTGCCGCCCAGGTTCATGGTGCCGGAGCCGGTTTTGGTGGTCTGGAGCCACAGCATTACCGTAGATGTGAGTTTATAGTGAGCCGTGCGGCCGCTGGACTTCTCCTGAAACACACAGAACCACAGGGCCGGTTCTTGACAGCTATAGAAGGGTGGGCTGGCAGATATGTGGGTGGGCATCGGGGGGAGGAAAGTCTAGATATTTATACTGTTGATATTGCTATATTAACTAAAGGCTGTTATATGTACACTGGAAATAAAGCCTGGAATATCATGCACTTTCACAACAAAATAAACGTTGTTTTTTCTTTATTGATTAATAATAATAATAATAATTAAAAAAAACTCTTTGTTCTCTTTCACTGTATCATTGTTTCTACACTGGTGATTTTTTCAACTAACTTTTTCATTTATACCAAACAAGACCATAATCATATCTAGAACATTAGGGGGACTATTGCTTTGAGGAAAATATTAAAGGTGCCACAGAATGCATTGATACAATATTTTAAATTGTTCTCTGATATCTACATAGAAGGGATGTGTCTTAGTTAAGGGAAATAAATCTCCAGAAACAATTTTGCATGTACATTTACAACCCTAGGATTTGTCCCTAGAATGAAATGGTCTGTTTTTACCTTATTTGGAAGGCTCATGAATAATAATGTTGAGCTCTGCTCTGATTGGCTGTTTCACAGTGCGGCTCATTTCAGTAGCTCACACAGCAGGAAGGAAATATATATTTCAATACTGTCTCTCGCGGTTATATCGTTGGGTAATTATACTGCATATAAAATGCGGGCATCAGGGAGCCGTTATTAATACGTGGGGTATTGAAACTGCATATAACGTGTGTTATTTACTAGAAATAAACAAACAAACAAAAAAAAAAAAAGACAATGACAATGTTAAAGTTAGTTAAACCTTTATTCCATAAAATTCATTATTTTATTAATTTGAATAAATAAATTATATTTAGTTTAATAATATAGTCACCCTCAGGTGGTGAAACTAATTATATGAGACATTTTATTTTATTTTCATCTGGTTTAAAAAATTTTGAAACCATTTTACCAAAACCTGGAACATAGAAAGAGTTTAAATTGTTACTTACAAGCAATAATGATCATAAATAAATAAATAAATAAACAACAGGCAAATCCTCAGATATCCTATATAGCTAAAAATAGAGAGAAGAGACTCGGAGACGTTTTCCAAACTTTTTGAAACTTACAAAATGTTTTTAAATACCATACAAAAAATAAATAAAATGAATGTAATAAAGCAAAAAGCTCACTACCCATAAATCTAATGCTGTTATGAATGTGAACGGCTTCTTGTATAATTGGTGGAGCTGTAAGAACGGTTGAGCGCTCACCTGCACCTCCACCACGTGGATGGAGTCCCAGCATCCCTTGATCTTCTTGGAGCCGTCTCCAGCTTTCTTGATGAGGATGACTCCGGCGAATCCGTGATCCAGATCCCACAGGTACACGGAGGAAACCCCGCCCTCGAAATACCTGCGAGAGAGCGAGCGGAGCGTCAATCACGGCTGCCGGCCAATCAGAGCGCTGGGGGGCGTGTCGTGGGCGTGTACTCACAGGTCTCTGTACTGGTCGAAGGCGTTGTTAGCCTCCACCTCCAGCTTGCGCAGACGAGCCGAGGGCATGGCGCCGTCGTCGATCGGAGGCTCGTATTTATTACTCCAGGGAGATCTGAGAGAAACAATCACACAAAACAGAGAGTTCCGGTGCTTGGCTCTGATTGGCTGAGCCGCGTTCGAAGCTGTTGTAAATGACGCTACAAAGTAACACACACCTTTGTTTACGTTTGTGTGTTGCTCGACAACCACTTTGTTGCAACCACAACTTCATTCTTTACCAAATTCTGCTTTTCGGTTTGAACTTTTTAATACCTAAATTATATTTTAGAAATCATGTCTAAATAACAAATCATAAAACCTATGCAATTTAACAACAATTTATTAATTAAATTTTTAGGGCCTATTTCATTATTTTCCCAATTTGCATTTAATTTTCCCCAAATTCTAATTTTCCATTTTCTTGGATTCAGTTTTAATGTTTAAATTAAATTGCTGTAATCAAAAAGCATGACTTATTAATATTTCCTAATTTACGTTTTATTTTTTACATGTTTGAATTTTGTTTTCCTCTGAATATATTCCTGGACTCTATTTTAATAGCGTAATTCAATTTTATTAATCAAAAAGCATGTCTAATTAACTGAAACTTATGCAATTTAATAAAAAAAATTTAATTAAAAAAATCCCTATAAAAATCCATTTGATTTTTTCTCAAATTCTGTTTTACATCTTAATTTCTGAATTCTATTTTAATGTTAGATTAAAATTTCAGTAATCTAGAAGCATGAAACTTACATAATTTAACAACTTTTTTTTTTTACTAATTTTTACAGCTCAATGAATAATATTAATTCATAATCAAAATGTCTAATCAATTTAATCTTTACTAATTATTCAAATATAAAAATATAAAAAAATCTTTAACAAATTAATCATTTATATAAAATTTTATTTTACAATAATACATCATTTTCTGGATTTACTTTTGGCAAACAAAGGCAATTATCTGCATGTAAAAGAGCAGCGTGACCAGCGGTGGAAGTATCTCATTCTGTAATGTACCTGTAGGAGTCTCCATCACGGTTGTAGTCGCACAGCAGATAGTCTTTGCCCACCACTTTATCACGCGCGATCTTCAGCGGCTGATCCACCGACGACAGCAGGTCTTCACACAGACTGGGCACCCGACACACACACACACACACACACACACACACACACACACACACACACAACATTAGAGGAAGTGAATTCCTGTCAGACACTCATTACTGAACCATCACACAGTCGCTTCCTCCCGTAAACCCCGTGACACATCTGACCGAACACAAGGGCCACTCGCTCCCGCTGCGAGACTGACACACACGCTAATAACAGCTAACAACCACTCGACACACACACACACACACACTCCCACACACACACACTCACGCTCACTCACTCTCACACGCACTCACTCTCGCACGCACGCACGCACTCACTCTCGCACGCACGCACTCACTCTCGCACGCACGCACTCACTCTCGCACGCACTCACTCACTCTCGCACGCACTCACTCACTCTCGCACGCACTCACTCACTCTCGCACGCACTCACTCACTCTCGCACGCACTCACTCACTCTCGCACGCACTCACTCACTCTCGCACGCACTCGCACTCACTCACTTACTCACTCTCGCACGCACGCACTCACTCTCACTCTCGCACGCACTCACTCACTCTCACTCTCGCACACACTCACTCACTCTCACACGCACTCACTCACTCTCGCACGCACTCACTCACTCTCGCACGCACTCACTCACTCACGCACTCACTCACTCACTCACTCTCGCACGCAC